AAATTTTCGCTATCTTAGTATGAAAAAATTTCTTTCAGGAGGCAATTCGCACTAAATCTGATTCAAGATGATGGATGACATCAAGTAGATTTATTTTTTCAGACTTAATGAATAAAATCAATAATCGGTATGATGTTCATTAGCATCTTTTACTGCACGAAGACGTGACGGATAGGAACATAAGAGAGTTTCGAATAACTCAGTGTTTGATTCCATCTTGGTCAAGACATATGACAGGTGTTTTTTTAATGTTTCTTCCTGATAACGGCTATCTTCCGGTTCTGATAGCATTTTTTACTCTACTTCGTTTTTAATTATTGCTCCAATATGTTCAGCTGCATTCAGATCAGGTGAATTTCCAGGCCAGGTGTCGTTTCCCCAAAAATTGATGTTATTGTCTTGAAGTAAATGTTGAGTCATATTTGCCCGCATACATGGTGCCTTGTCATGAACAAATATGACATCATCCACATCGATTACATTTTCTTCATCTTTGAGGAATGGAAACACGTGTTGCATTAAAATAGTATCACGAAAATATTGGCCAGACCACGATTCACCTTTATCTTTAAGTACCCAATGCAACTTTTTGGCAGTGAAAATGATAAAAATGCCAATGCATGCTTGGTTTTTAACCATTTCACGATATCTTTCATCATCTTCAATATCTTCAATACTTTTTGCCCAAACTCGATCGTTCCGATAATTTGGCCTGCGAACAATCCAAACATAAAATTCATCCGATGGTGCAAGATGGAGAAAGTCCTCTTGAGTCCAATCTTTTAACCAATCACAAAACCACAACCTGTCTGAGATATGAGTTTCTGTTTTTAATGGTCTTGGAATAACATGAAATGGCTTTATTCCTTCTCTATGACGATAATTGGCAATTGTTTTTGGAACAACATATTCCTTGTGTTTTTCTGCAATTTCTTTCACCATAACGTAAGTACTTTTTCTTTGTTTGCCACTTGCACTATGAATGAGGTTTCTATTTTCATCTGATAGTTTAAGTTTACGACCAGATTTGGAATAATCAGCAAAACAATTATCATATGACTTTTCCCACCATTCTGTAACAAATCGCGTAGTACGATGAATTTTGTCTGCAATCCATTGTCGATTAATAAATGTTGCACCGCCATCCCGAGTTTCACGAAAAGCAATACATTTGATTTTGTCGATAATTCTTTGTTGTTTTGTGTCATAAGTACCAGCCATTTTCAACCAATTAAGTTAAATTGCTTAACGAAAAGGATCAATTGTTTTTGTTTATGAAATTTATACACCGCGAAACGATCTTATATAATGTTCTACACGTGCTTAAAAGTTTCGCTCTAACACAGAATAGAAGTGGGAAAAACACGGTTCGATAACTGAAATGAAACGTGACTGCTGAACAGAAAAGTGGCCTGCAATAAATACAAATGAATACTGCTTTATTATTTCGATTGCTCCGGCGTTATGCCGTCATTCGTATTCAAAACAAGAAGATAAAAAGATAATAGAACGAAAAAGAATAATATTATCTTGTACATTGAATCATGCTAAATAATTAACACAACGATACTCCTATTAATTTTTGTAAAAAAAAAGCATCATTCTTGTGTAATGCCTCATTATCGATAGGTTACCACAATTGTACTGCGGAAATCTCTACATATTTGTTATGTTTGATATAAAAATGTTGGCAGAACCCTTACCATTTAATACCGACAAATCCCATTTTTAACGCG